ATTCAATTCAGTACGGAGTATTTCCTCCTCTTGCATTGATCACCGCTTGCATTCGACGTGGAATTTTATGTGTAATATTTTTATTTTTGTACTGTGGAATATTTTTATACTTCTCCAACAGAGCCATTCCTAATCGCCAAAAATTCTCTGGCATCACTGGGCTCACTTTGTGGTTTCTGGCACAGCCTTTCAGCCGTGCCTTTCACCACCCCCCGAGAGATAGAGAAGGCACCTCTACCTCCGTCACCGTTAGCCGGTACCCTCCAGCTAAGTTACAATTTGTTCGCAAACCAGACCACCACGAGTCCAACCTCAATTAGTACTCTACTCCGTGTTCAGTATTATTTTTAAGGTGGGACTGATCGCCCACAGGGGTGCATACGAATCCCCTACTGATGCACCCGATGCCCGAGGCGTATCAGGAAGCCTCTGCCAAAGCAGAGGGGTGAGGGGAAGGAAAAGGGCAAGAAAGGATATGGAAGGTAATAGGAAATTTTGCCTCCATCGTTGGTTACCCATAGGCACCGGAGTTGATGGTAGGGCTTGCCTAGGCCCATAAGGAATGTTACCCTATGAGATGTCGGGGCGGGACAGTCAAGCGTTCCAATATTTAAAAAAAATCGAATCCCTTCGATCCAAAATCCTTCGCACAATTGTGGATTCTCCATTCTGCGTTACCAACCATACTATCCACTCTAATCATACCCTACGTCTCAAATCTGGTCCACTCGTGCTACAATAAATTTCACTCCAAACTATCCTCTCATGACAGATTAATTCTCAACCTGTCCAGCTCAACCCTCATAGAAGCCTAAGCGCAGATGGCTCGCGACCATCTGACTTTGTATCGACAACTCGAGGGGACTGCTAAATAAATGAGAAAAGAATGTTTACTTGCGTTTTACAGTTTCTACTTTGGTTTTATGACAAAATGTAACCAAATTCTGAATAATTAAGTTGTATTAATTGAAATTGTACCGTGGGGCTGTTAAAACCTAACGCGAAACGGTCCGTATTAACGGGGATGTGGAGAGTCATAGTCTGACCAAACCGGTCCTCCTTGGGCGTAATTGTGAATGCTCTCCATATAAAATGCAAGCGAGGCCGTTACGTAATAGGTGTTCGAGTTTCGGCAAAAATAGTTCTTGCTGAAGTTGTTCTCGTCTAGCGAGGGATTGCCTATCTTTAATAACTCCTTTGTCCCCGTGTCTTAAGTCTGACTCCTTCCTTTTCATGGTCCACTCATGTCTACAGTGGCGGAATGGTTTCCCTTTCCGGTTAGAAGAGTGAAAACCAGCCTGTTCAACCGGATTGGAAATAATTTTATAAACGGTAGCAATTTCGATCGCAGCCTCTCGACCATCTTTTTCCCCCCTTTAAACTAGTCTATTAGCCAACTTCCACCTTTTTTCAAATGTTAATCTCTCTTAGCCAACAGGGTTAAAGTTACAAGCTGGGTTTGTAATTAGAACAATTCCAGAGAATGCGTTTAATTGCTTCCAACTAGGTCAGAAAATAGCTCAAGCATTGATGAATTTCATAAGAACCGAATCGCCGACTGAAAAGTCAAGAAAGAATATTTAAATGATAGTTTACATCCATCGCACCAAAATTTCAAGTATATTAAAGCAGCATCAGAATCAAGTGCTATTTTATCAAATCCTTTAAAAGGATTTCTAGTAGTATCACGTCTTTGTATTTTCTATTTTAAAATACAAACGGAAACAATTAACTCACATGCTCCTACAGGCTGAAAAATAAGACCTACTCTCCTAACACATAATCAGGAAATACGTGACTAATATTGTAAAGAACAAGAAAAACCTCTGAAAAATATTAAAAACGTTAGAGGAACTAAAAATTAAAAACACCGTATCAAAGATGCGGTAATTGTTTATTTTTATCAACTTTTTTGCAAAATAACAACCGATAAGTGTGATATTCTAAAAAATTTCCTTTGCCTTTATCAAAACGTTTTTCATCAATAGAAAGAGCTGGGACTCGTAGGTTATGATTATTTAAGTCAGTTGGGTTTATGTTCGTCAAATAGAAGGACAAACATAAAGAGGCTGTAGCTCTGATAACGCAAAGAAAAGTTCTAAGTTCACTCAGACTTAAAAATCATTATGAAACACTAATCGCGATGATGAACCTGCAGCTTGATCGTCTCCGATCATCCTGGTCCGCCTGTTACTCTGGTTTTGTACGTAAAACGCCCAAAGAAAAGCTAACTTTTGCACTAAGTTTACATTAAATTTCAAAGTTATTAAAGCTGATGTTGCGTATGTTGGCCTGCGAGTTGGTGACCTAACTGGCACTATATCGTACTGGTCCATCTACACTCAGTTGGTTTTTTTGTCACTCATGTTGACTGCTCAAAGGAGCACTTCAGTGGAGAAGGTAATAGATAGTACAAGTAAAACCGCTCAGAAAGCTTACAATTTCACCTAAGTTCACATGCTTAAACTTAAATAGTTATTGTGAATCATCGAACTGAGATCTGATCCGTGATGAACCTGTAGTTTGATCGTCCGAAGCGACGAGGTTTATTGTTGCTTTGTCTGTAAAACAAAACAGAAAAGCCAAAGTTTTGTTCTAAGACCACGCTAGCTTAAATGGTTTTGTGAAACGCTATAAGGTATGTGTGGAGCTTCTCGCTGAATCTAACTTTAATGCGTTTTGGTCTTTGTTCTGTGATATTTTGTCAGCCTTGCCCATTTAATAGGTTTGCAGAATGTGAAAGAACAAAACCAGTGAGGACAGGGACAGGAAACGACTACAAAATTCGTTGCTGTTTTCTTCATAAAACGCCCAAAGAATTAGTTAGAATTAGTTTTTTCCTAATTTCATTTGCTTACACTTAAAAAGGTTTTGTAGATCATTGAACTTAGGTCTACGATAATTCCCTATCAACCTGGTCCGCTTGTTCTCGCTGTTTCTTTCTGTAAAACGCACAAACAAAAGCTCTGCGTTTTGTCTTAAGTTCACGTAGACTTTATAAAACACTAAGCTGAGTTGTGTGAGGAGATGCAATCGTGGTTGTACCGATCGTGACAACATGACATCGTTCTCGCTTATTTTAATTGTCAGATTTGTTTAGGTCGTTGGTGTATGATATTTTGTCAAGTCTTGTCCTTTTTATATATTTGTAATATGTGGTGTTTAGTGACCGTTAGCCAATGATTATTTGGAGATCGTGAGGTGCGGTCTGGTGTGACGTAGGTTTTAGAAAAATCATTTTTTTATCATGCCAACGTTTCGAACAGAAGCACTTGTCTCTTCCAGCGATTTCTTCAATTTTTCAGATTCTTCTTTGCTTATTGCTTCTTTAATTGTTACTGGCGCTGATTCTACCATTGTGTTGTGGGCACTTTCAACACAACACCCAAAAATAACACATCTGCACGGAAAACAAACACTCTGAGCTCTGAAGATGATCTCAATAAAGATCGAAACGTTGGCATTATAAAGAAAATGTTTTTCTAAAACCTACGTCACACCAGACCGCACCTCACGATCTCCAAATAATCATTATATTTATAATGTTTGTAAGATTTTGGTGACGCTTGACAGAACCAGCAGGAAGGCAGACCAGGATGACCGGAAACGATTAAACAAAAATATTTGTTATTCCTTTGTCTTAAAAAGACAGAAAAGCTCAAGTTTTGTTGTGAGCATTGAACTTGAACATAACACAACACAGCGATGAATATGTTAAATTTATAATTTAATTCTTATTATCAATAATTTGTAGACGGTCTATTCTCGTGGCCGAAGGACCAATATCGTGTAAAACTAAATTTACTAAATAAGCCTATGTAAAGTTAACACCAAACTAGTTTTTCTTTGAGCATTGGCAACGATCAAACTACAGGTTCATCACACAGAAAATCCCAAGAAAAAATCTCACGATAACTAACAACATATTTGGGATTATATTTTTTATAATATACTGAAACCCAGTTTGATTTAACCATGCGATATTTTTAGAAATACCAATGGTGTACCCAAAATGGTACTAAAGGAATGAAAGATCCAACATATTTTTACAATTTATGTTACGATAAATATGTTAAATTTATAATTTAATTCTTATTATCAATAATTTGTAGACGGTCTATTCTCGTGGCCGAAGGACCAATACTGTGTAAAACTAAATTTAGGTTATAAAACGATTTGATTCAGTTATATCATATCTTTTTATTTATGTACTTTCTTTTATTTCTGTTGTCTTTAGTGTTCATGTAAAGTCCGTTTGGAAAAAAGTATGACTTCGACGTGACTTGAAAAGAGACAATTTTTATTGTAAAAAATGAAGTTCGTCGTTGAATTGAGCCCATTAATCGAAAATAGCAAATTAATTAGGCAAATGTTAATTTAAAAAGACTTCAAGTTGGTTTAAAACGAAATGCGCTGTATCCTGAGCAAATGAAAGTTTGACGTAAAATAAACTGCCGCTTTACCCGTAATCTCTCAAACAGGAAACAGGTTCGGTGAATAACGAAAGTGGTCCGTGAAAGTTTTAAAGCAGCGTTAAATATTCGCACTTGATCAAATTCAATGTTGGACTCTTTCAATCCGTCCAAAGTCGAGCGGTGTATGGGGAAAAAAACTAACGCCTTCGCAAAATGGAGGATTATTTACGGCAGCATTTCTCAATGTAGATATTTTGCAATTTGAACTGGAGCGACACAGTTGCTTCCGGTTCGATTAATCCTCATACGTGCATAATATAATTTTGCGTAATACTTTACGTAGTCCTCACGAATTAATGCACCTTTACGCATGGCTCGCTTTAAGGGCTTTCTATCCAAATTTTTTTCCGTGCCGGTGAATTGCCGTTATTCGGCAAATATGATGGACAAACAAAGGAACTCGAGGTTGCTACCTTTTTCCTACTTCGGCATTCTTTGCCATCTCGAGATTTTATTGGTTATCAATATGAATTCAAGACTTTTAGAGATCTTTTTCAATTTGTTTAATTGTAATTTATTTTTCAGTGCCATAAAGGGAGATGCGTTGGTCGCACAGGACCACAGTTTTTCTCCTAGTCTGGATAGCCAGCTGTTCAGCACAGGGTCGAGGGAGCAAAAAATACTCTTCTGAACAGACCTCTGTGGTAAGTATACTTCTAGTACCACCACAATACTAGTATAATCAGGAAATTAAAATCTTCTACATGTATATTTGAATTAATAATCATGTAACAGTTTATGATTAAAATGATTAATTGAAACTTCTAAAATGGGCCCAGGGTTAGTGACAGATTTAGTGAAAAATAGAATTATTCTTTTTTCTTCGATTAATAATTATTGTAGGGTTTTATTTCCCCACTAACAAATAAATAAGTCAATATTTAATGAAACTCTTTCCATAAGTGATATATTCTCTGTACTACAAAAATGACAAAATTGTGTGAGGATTAAAACAAACAAGCAAACTAGAGTACATAATTTATTTTAAATTGTGTTGACTATTTCATCTGATCAAGTTGATTGTTGATTAGATCAATGGATAAAATCGTTCTATGATTAAAATGACTATTTAACCATAATTGCTGGGGGGGATGGAGCTGGCTTTAATGGATTCTATTTTTAATATTAACTATTAGATTTTTAATATTATACTCGATTATATATTGTTTAATGTACTGCAAATGAAATTGTATGTATAGAAGGATTTCAGGAATGAGAGCCTAGGCATTTCCTTTAAATTTGAAAGATTCATAACTGGCCACTTGGTCAAAATGCGGTGCGGCAATGAGTACTCAGATATCAGACTGATACAGATGTCGCACAAGGGAGGATTCTTGGTCCTATTCTGGTCTTCTGGCTGGCTTTTGTACATATCCCAATACCACCATTACCACCTACGCAAATGGTTTTGTCTTCTAACCCAATTCCTTTTGAAAGAACCTCCAGCATTCAAAAGCCCCTTGAGCTTGTCCAAGACTTGTGCAGAAAGTGGAGGGCAAGATTGAACGAGGAAAAATGTACAAAACTGTCTGGCTTCCGCTGAATGTCAACAACAAGTAGCTACTGCCTTTCACTCAAGTCAGATAATTAGGACTATACCTAATAGACTGACTTCCACATGATTAAGAGATATAATTTAAAAGTAGACTTTGACGACTACAAAGTCTTTTTGATCATCAAAACACAACTAAATCTGTACAAGTCATTACTACGACCACTTTGGACATACAGAGTGGAACTGTGGTGTTATACCAGGCCATCCAATAGCCACCACATCAAATCTTTCAAATCAAAAGTCTCAGACAAAAGCTCCTTAGTACATCACTAACCCTGTCTGTTTCATGTATATTTGCCAGACCCAAGCCCTGTCTACACAGCCCCATCCCAAGAACCCGACAGCCTCAACTCTTTGCTATTAAACCCTCACATTAGGAAACAGCCACTCATATCATCTTCGATGTAAAGCAACCTAACTACGGAAAAAAACATAGGGAATCAAATTGCAGCAGCGACAGTCAATGACCTGATACTTCTAAGGAATTGCACTGAACTAAGGAACTAGGAAGGTACAATAAGCCAGAAGGCTGCAGTGCCTGGGGAGTACAAACTCCGCTTCCTAGTATCCTTTTTCACCACACCATACCATACCAAACCCTCACATTGAGTGCCATCATTGGCTGATTTTTTTCAACATGTGTCCTCATAGGCTGTGCTGGCCTATTTTAAATGTTACGACTGGGGGGGGGGAGAATATACACACATAAACTCAAATTTGTACTTAAAAACTAAGAAACATTTAAAAAGAAAGAGAGTTGCTTGGTATTAATATTAAAAATTTTCATTCCATTTCTCACATTATCTACAAGACATAACTAGAAACCCTAAAATAAACTATTGACTTGCTGTTGAGTTTAAATTGATTAAAACTTTTTATCTGGATTGATGTAATGAGCAATGTTACGGACATTTCATATTTATGAATTATTATTAACATTATGTCAGAATTGCAAATATATACATGATGTGTAACAAGTGAAACAAGTGAAAGTCTTATTTTCATTCGATGTTCACTATTTATAATTCTAGTAATAAATTATAACAGTAATAACAGACAGAAAAGTTATAATTGTAGACAAATTATTTATATTAGGAACATTTTTTTCATAAACCCTGTCGCTAACTTGATAAATTCAAAAAGTGTAAGGTATTTTTTATAGTCTGTACATAGGTTTGTAGTAAATTATATTATTTTAATAAAATTAGTAGTATAATAGTGAATTTTTTGAAAATGTTTGATTAGCTATAAAGTAAATAATTCATATAACCTGTTTTATTTTAGTTTTCTCAAGAACTATATTCTGAAAATTTTTGCCCAGAAGATAATTTTGACTTTTAGGCTAAATTGATTACACATTTTACCCAGTATTTATATAATATATATTTGAATATTCTAGGAAGAACTTCCAACAAGAAGTCATAGGTTTAGTTCTGAAAATAATTCACAATTGGATGTAAATGTACATTCAAGAGCTAATGGGAGGTCAAGGGAATTCAGACAGGACACCAGAAGTACTAACAATGCTGAAGTCCCAGTCAGAGGTGCATCAAGAGTAACGGATACCCCTAAAGAACCTCAAAGAGGAACTCAAAGAGTCACAGAAAGGGAGTTTCGCTCAAGGACCCAATCCTCAACTGAGAGCCCAAAATTTAGTTCTGAAAATGCTCAAAGAAGTAGAACACAAAATGAAGGAACTCCACTGCCGTCGCATTCGAGAAACAGTTTTCCTTCCAGGAATAATAGAAATGATGCTAGTCAATCTAGAGCAGGGTATTCTAGGCAACAAGAAAGGATAACATCAAGAAACATTCAGACTGATTCAACCGATAGTGGAACGGCAAGACAAGAAACTAGGACAAGAGGCAGAAGTTTAAATTTTGATGTTGATAAAGAAACTTCAAACAATATCCCCGAAATCAGTTCTAATAGCAGAAGGCGGAATGAATCATCACAGTCACAGTCTAGAGGAAGAACACATTATGATTCTACTATAAATTCTAGTAGATCCCGTGGAAGCTTGACTCCTGCAAGAAGCAGCAGACTTAGTGCAACAAGCACAGAGCAGAATGAAGCTTTGAAAAATTACCATGGTAGACAGCCAATAAGATCCAGAAATTCTGAAATAACTCATTCTCCAAGAACGATAAATAATAGGAATTCATCTTCAAAAGAGAGTTCTCATGTTCATAGTAAAGAAGCTGTAATAGACAGCAAGGAAGAAACGAAAACTGAAAATGTGAAACAAGAAGAGTTACAAAGCAGTAAGTCACTAACAGAAGAGTCATCTCAAGAAGTAGACTCTGTAGAAAAAGATGAACCCAGCCTGGCGAAGAATTTCAGAGGGCATGCTCGAGGCACTTCTGAAAACAGAAGATCTAAAATATCAAAGTCTGAAGTAAGTTAGAATTTAAATAGTGTCCAATAATAATTTGGAAAATTTTAAAAATAATCGCTATGTTTTCAGATAAATAGCAGGAATGAACCAACAGAAGCTCCTACTTCCGCTCGATTCCGTAGTAAAGAAATTGGAAATGATTTTAAAAAAGAAAATAAAAATGAAGTTTTTCAACAAAAAGAGTTACAGAGTGAAGTAAACAGTAAATCACTAACAGAAGAGTCAACTGAAAAGGTTGACACTGTGGAAAATGAACCCACGCCAGCAAAAAATCTCAGAGGGAGCTCTCGAGGCACTTCTGAATTCCATAGAAGATCCAAAACTTTAAAGTCTGAGGTAAGTTAGAATTTAAATAACATTAAATCATAATTTGGAAAAAAAAATCACTGTTTTCAGATAAGAAGCAGGAATGAACCAACAGACGCTCCCACTTCTGCTCGATTCCGTAGTAGAGAAATTGTAAAAGATTTTAAAGAAGAAAATAAAAATGAAGTCATTCGACAAGAAGAGTTACAAAGTGGAGTAAACAGTAAATCATTGACAGTAGATTCTGCAACTCAAAATAGTGCTTCTACAGAAGAGCATAAACCAAGGCAATCCAAAAATTTTAGAGGCAGTTCCAGAAGCTCATCAGAATACAACAGAAGATTCAAATCATCAAAATCTGAGGTAAGTTAATGTGAGATAATAATTGCGTAAAATGAAAATAAAAATCACAATACTTTCAGTTAAATATTAAGAGTACAGAAGCAGAAGCTTCTACTTCTTCACAAAATCATAGTAAAGAAGTAAAAGAAATCAAGGAAGAAAGGAAAACTGAAATAGTTAAACAAGAAGAGTTTCAAAGTGAAACAGATACTAAATCTATGTCAGTAGACTCAGCAACACAGATGAGCATCACTGTTGAACAACAAAAACCCAATCTGTCAAAGAATTATAGAGGGAGCGCCAGAGGTCCACCACAACACAACCGAAGACTCAAAGCATCAAAGTCTGAAGTAAGACAGTTTAATTATTGCAAAAGCATATTTTTTAATTAAAAACCACTGTTTTTAGACATCCAGCCAAAGTTTGCACAGTGAAGAAATAGCAGATGATGATAATTATCCGGATATTTATAAACAGTTGAAAAAAGCTGGCAATGGACCTAAAGAAATTTTGGTATGTTTAGATTTCCAGTACAATTTAACTGGCACTTTTAACTAATCCATACTAAAAATGGAGTTGGTATGCAATATCATTATATCATTGAAAGTGGAATTATCGTGTGATTAACATAAACCAGTAACAATTTTGAAATAGTTTATATGTACAAAAAATCCTGAGATTATAGAAATGCATGATGTATAGAGAAGGAAGTAACAATATCTATGATTAGAAATAATAACAACTAATATTTTAACACACCTACACAAACTTTCTTTTTCTACAAGACTAGCATATTAAGATTTTTATCCAATATAGTTTATGTACAATTTATATCTTTTCAATCATCTGTTTCAATGGTAGTTAGGCATAACTATAATAAATAAAATCACGTTCAATTCATTATCTATGATCATCCCATCTTCACCGCTTTTCTAATTAATGAAACCATACACGTTTAATCAATATATCTACGTTTTGTTAAACTGTTTTTCAGGCTTTGCTAAAAGCAAGAACTGAGGCACGGAAAAATTCAAAAACACAACAACAATCAATCACACTGGTAATAAATAAAATTAACCGACAATGATAAAAAGATGCTGTATATAAATTTTTTAAGCTTTAATTGCGCTAATAATGAATGTTAATCTATAAAATAGTGTTTTTTTTTAGATTTTGTTTTACTAACAGGATTTTTCTTTGTCTAGAATCAAAACATTTCCAACACGGACACATCAAAGAACGATTTTGTAGAGTTTCACGAAACACCAGAATCGACAACCGAAGGAGTAGCAGGTCTATCTTTTTCCCAAAATCATGGTCAAAGCACTAGAACACAAACACAACAAGAAAATGTTCAAAGTAGGGCAACATTACATAATGAAAAGATAAGTTTGAAAAGAAATACAACCAGAGGATATCATGTTCCTATAAACAGAGCTAGGACTGAGGAGCCGACACGTGCAGTGCCGGCTTCAAGAACCAGGACATTTCCCAGCAGACAACATGATACAGAAACAGCATATAAAAACAATTTAAGAAAAGAAAATAACAACGATTCTAAAACTGATGTCTATAACCACTCTAGGCGTTTCAAACCAAGGGCAGAAGTTGAAAATCCAGAAAAATACAAAAGAACTGAAAAACTAGTTAGTTACCAAAGGAGAAAAACTACAGAATCTCCCACGGAAGTTCCTGTAACGTTGAGAAATGAACATAGGAATAATGTTCATAGGTATACTGCTAGGAAGGAAAAATTTAATTCAAGAACTGTTGATTCATTTACTGCAAGAAATTTTAAAATAGCACAAACAGCTAAGCCTTATGTACAAGAGGTGTTACCAAAAATTCCACATTTAGATGATGAAGAACTTTTGGAACAAGTAGAACAAAAAAATTCTGAACCTACCACAATCAAGGTAGAAAATTTGCCTGATGTTAAGGTAAGCGATGAAAACTTCAACTCTGTACATGATGATTCTTCTCGAACTGAAAAAACTATAATTAAAAATAACCGAGGGAAAATTGGCATTCAGGATTATTTTGAAGAAAGAAATGTGAATTTAAGAACAGAAAGCCCTTGGAGAAATCTACCGAAATCCACTTATGTACCAAGAAATAGAGACAAAGAATTTGAAAAGTTCAAAGCGAGAACTGAACAAAGTGTGGTTACTACTACAAAAAAAATGCCAATTAAGCTGAGGTATCACTTGTACGATAGGAATCTGGTTGTAAATAAGATAAAGAGTTTTACTACTGTAATACCAGAAATTGGAACAAGGCATGGTGAGTTAATTATGAAAATCGCTTGGACAAAAGCTAAGGACTGTTTTGTAAACAGACAATTCAGAGAGGACCAACGACAAAAATAACTCAAAATTTGACAGTTAAAAGACTAATGTTTGCTCAAATGACACAAAAGCACTTAATTCTAAGATTTAATTTACATTATTTATTAGTACAATTTATTTTTTCAGATGAGGAACAAAAAGAATTTAAAAATAAAGACATCCAGCCCAACTCTAAATCTTTCATTCCACCTAAGAAAACATACAAAAGGACAACAACGACTCCGGTCCCATTATCAAGGTAAGCAATTGGTTTATATTATTTTATATAATAATGTTAAATTTTGTTTTCACTGCAGATACCGGTCAAGAAAAGAATCGCTGAATAAGAACCTGAAAAATCCAGAGGTTCTACATTTAGACAATTCAGAAAAATATAGAAGAACAATAGGAAAGGTATGTTCAATGCTAATTTAGTAAGTGTTGAATAAAAGCACAGTAATACTTGCTGTAATATGGATTAGAAAAACAAATTATTTAATTTTTAATCTCCCAAGGCACATTTGCCATTAGTATGAAGATAACTAAAAGTGATACAAACTTTAATGCTTTATTAATTATCTTTGTAGGAAGATGGTGAATATTATGATAATGAATTTAATGGTTTGAGTGTGGATTCTTTAGTATCTGAATCAGAGGATTCCTTAGTTTCAACAGAGCCACAGGACTATGTAAGTATTGTAGAAATATCTAGTAATAAATTGAGAATCATCTAATCACTGAAGTTTAATAATTAAGCAAAGCAATAATTGAGAGTGATACCATTTTTTTAGGTTACAAAATCAACAACAAATGCGCCCAAATATAGAGATAGTTTCATTCAAAAGGTGCCGCCAAAAAGGAAAGGAAATAATGCGACACCTAGAACTCAGACTACTTTTACTTTTCCTCCGCTTGAACTTTTTTCAATATTTGACGATACAACAACTCCTTCTGTACCTACAACAGAAGAAGTCTCCAAATCAATGGAAACTCCGTATAAAATCTTAGCAACTGAAGAATCATTTGTAAGCACATCTGAAAAAGGCTATACAGCATTAAACGACCTCACAACTTTGTCAAACCCAACCCAACCACCTACTACTATAAACCCTACTTTTCTGGAATCGACTACTATTGTAGAACCACCATTAAAAAAGAACGTCATAACTACAATTAAACCTACAATAAATAAGGACCCAGACCCAATTACTTTGCAAAAGGTTTCATTGAGTGACTTACTAATTCCGACTCTGCTTCCTGTTATAAATTTGACTACAAATAAAGAAGACACAACTGTAGTTTTAACCACAGATCCTGAACTAATTACTGTTTCCACTACAGTTTCGATTCCAACAACAACAACTACTACAACAACTACTACTACAACTACTACTTCTACTACTACTACTAAACGTCCTACACCAAAATCAAAACCCAAACCAAAACGAACCACAAAAGCTGTTGTTAAAACTGAACCAACTAAACAACCAACTGTTACATCAACCAAAAAGGCAACAAGTAAACGAATGGTACCAACACTTTCAACAACCTCTACTACCACTACAACAGTTAAAACATCACTAGCTACTGAAGCACCAACATCTAAAGCACTTACAAAAGAACCGTTAAGAAGTACAAAGGCTGTAGAAACAAATCCCCCAGTAGAAGTCACTTATGCACCTAAAACAACAACGACTTCAAAGCCTACTACTCAAAAAGTAATAACGTTATTGTCTGTTTTGGCCATTTTGGCACAGAATTTTACGACACAGAAGCCGACAACTTTTATGAATTCAAACACGGCGAATATTTTAACAACGCCCTTGCCTGTTACTACTCCTTCAGCTGTCACGCTGACAACCGAAACATCGACACCAAATACAACCAATTTTGTTGTTTATGGCCTATTGCCAAATAACAATTTAGTAAGAAAAGTAGTCAGAACAACTGCGGCTCCTGTAGATGTGCCTTTTATAATTTATGGCCTCTATCCAAATGGAACTATTGTAAGAAGATTTCCAAACGGGACTATTTTACCTGAAGAAACACCAGAAGATGATAACGAAGTTGTTGCAAGTATTGAACCTGGAAACAAAGAACATTTAGAAATGGTGGTTAAAAAAGACAGCCCGCTCTCCTACTTGTATCCTCCAGTAAGCTCTATTATTTTGTAACTATTTTTTTTATTATTAGTGAATATATGCTATCATTTCCTTCTAATAAGTTAACTTAGGTTAACTAAGCCTTAATTTAATTTGATGAATACTTTTGATAATACAAAAAATTTGAATATCATTAATTTTGATTTCGCTGAACTGAATATTGAATATTACTGATGAAGGTATAATTAATTATTAAAATATTAAATAGTATTAATATGCAGCTAAAAGTTAACAATATGTTGACTTCATGAGTGTTCTGAAATTGAAGAACAAGTTTTGCTTAATACAGAAAAAAATAAATTTAAGATATATATATATGCTAAAAAATAAACATTAATTTTATTATTTATTAATTTTTAACTATTATTTTCAGGGATACAGACCAAAATCGACTACCCGTTTGATCCCAGTAACATCAACAACACCGCAGAGTACATTTTCAACATTGTCTTTATCACAGTCTGGGATACAAAGGGCTAACATGCCATCATTACCTTATTCAGCTGTCCCAAGAGAGGAAACAGAAAAAATTGTAACAATAGATAAAAAACCGACCACACCTTCTCTATTAAGATCAGATACGAGTCTGAAAGCAACTACAAAACCAACTACTACTAAACTAGTACTGATTACTACTTCAAAACCGAAAAGTCAAACATCGACAGTATCATCTACAAGTTCTACTGAATCTACTACATTTGGAGGAACAACTGCTGCCAAACCCACTGCAAAAATGACAGCAAAGCCAACACCAAAGCCAACAACAAAACCAACTGCAAAACCGGCACCAAAACCTACAACAAAACCAACACCCAAACCGACACCAAAGCCCACAGTAAAACCAACACCAAAACAAACTGCAAAACCAACAACAAAACCCACACCGAAGCCAACAACAAAACCCACACCAAAACAGACACCAAAGCCCACAACAAAACCCACACCAAAACCTACTACAAAATCAACACCAAAACCAACACCAAAACCCACACCAAAAACTACTACAAAATCAACCACAAAACCAACACCAAAACCTACTACAAAATCAACCACAAAACCAACCACAAAACCAACCACAAAACCAACACCAAAACCTACTACAAAATCAACAACAAAACCCACACCAAAACCAACAACTAAGAATCCACCTAAGACTTCAACAACACAAAAAGTGACTACTTCTACTCCTAAGCCTGTAGTCGTGTCTAGTACTGAGACAACATCAATGTTAGATGATTCTCTCATTGTGAAATCAGCAGCATCAACGACAGTAAAACCCAAGCCATCATCTTCACCTTCGTCTAAACCAAAATCTAAATCTAAAAAACAAACAACAAGCCCACCAAAACCAACCACCCAGAAAATGAACGATTGGACAAGCCTGCAGGATACTGCACTTTTGTACAGCCTTGTAAGTATACAACTAGTTTCAGACGCAATAAGACATTTTTTAAATGCATATTTTACTATTTTTTAAATTATTTTTTTCAACAGAACCCAGATTTTAGTAGCACATCTAATCTCCCGTCGATTCTAGATACACAAGATATTGCAAACAAGGTTTGAGCAGTTTTGAATGATTTAAATTAAATTTAAATTTCTTTTAGTATTATAACAATGATTTCTTTCAGGTAATACAACTGGCTATACAAAGGGCACAACAAACAACTCAAAAGTCAGAAAACACAAAAGGTACAACTACACCAAAACCAACGTCTGCACCGAAGGCAACGACATCCAAAAAAACCACCTCAACACCTCAAACATCTCCAACTTCTAAACCTAGTACAACAACTGAGGCAATTGCATCTTTGTTAACTGCAAATACAGAACAGGTTTGAAATAAATTAACTTTTTTGATTAAAAACAATTACTCAATAATTGGAAAAATTACATTGGTTTCACAGGTGAACAGTACAGATGTGGCAAACACGAATAAGACTGGGAAGATATCCCTTTGGGTATTGCCTTCAGAAGAGTCTATACCATCTTCTGCAGAACTTGACGATATCAAGGTTTGTGATTTTTGTATTCTTGTTGCTTGTGTGTTTTGAATTGTAATGTAATATTTTAATTTAATTTTATTGTAATAATGTAAATTTTTTTAGTTAACTGGTAATGATGTGGATATTTTAAATGCACTTCTCTCTTCACCAAAAGCAACCACCAACAATTTGTCTTCTAATGAACAACTCTTACTTGCTGTGAGTTTGTTTATATTTTCTTTACTAATAAAAAATTGCTTCATGAATTAACTTTATCATTATTGACGTCTACTCCAATAGAAAATAATAATTTCAACAATCTCAGTTAACATTTCATGTACATCAATGCTCTGTATAAATCCTTTGTTTAATTTTTTATATTAAAGGAAATTGTGAATTCAACGCGTCCACCTACAAATAAAAAGAAAAAGAAGAAGCCTAAAACTACAACTACACCACCACCTCCATTCCCCATATTGAGAGCAATTTTTGGACGAGTTAGGGTATGTTAAAAATAAACTGTACAACGATTTTGCATTTTTAATATTAATGTATCTTTTCAGGGAAATCCACGCTTTTTTCAAAGGGGTGGGTGGTTTCAGCAACTCAACACAAATCGGATCGTTTCTACAGAGGTTTGAAATAATATAAATAAATAAACATTTGTGAAATTTTACTTTATTTATTTTTTTATTAATAGACGTCGATACCAAGTATTGATGGAGGTCTTTTCCAAGCCAATAGTGACATAAGCCCCTTAAACGCTGAGAGCTCAACTATTGGGCTTCTTAGCGTTTCACCGGATTTGGCGTTCCCAAACGATGATGTATGTTCAAAATAAAATATAAAAATAAAACTTTTTTTATAACAAGCATGTATTGTTAATCGTACTGGATAACTTTTAGCCTCCAAGAGGGGAAAATCAAAATGGTTTGGTTGGAGCAGCCATTAGTGTAACTAGAGCAGTTTCTCAGTTTATGGGCTATGTTATTCAGGTAATTTAGCTTGTTAAATACAATTCAATGCCAATGGTATAAATAATGTTTTAATTTCAGGGTGCTACACAATCTTTTCAAAACTATTTACAAAGCAGGACAAGGGCGCTATCTCAAGCTTTGTCTTTTCCACCACCAGCCTAAAACGAAACCTTGTTAATTTAACAAATCAATTATTATTTATGTTATAACATGTAAATATAATGTATAAAATGACTAAGGAGTGCGATAGAATAAGTTAACATAGTGTACATATAATAAATTGTCATCACATTTTGAACTTAGCACAGGCTTTGTTTGGAATAATGATCTACTTCGAGCTTACATCGTCATGTCAGTTTTGAGCATAATATTTAACAATTCATCATTTAATATAATTCAAGACGAAATATAATATGTTAAATAATTTATGCTTAACTATTTAATGTGAGCAGATTAGAAGGTGCAATATCACACATGATATTCTAGCAGATAACAAATAACCCTTATATCATGCAATATATTTTCATGAAAAGTGAAATTTCATGCACATATCTAAGTCATATATCTAAGTAATTTTATTTGAAAAAAACAACAACTAAATAACATAAAATAAAATATAAAAAAAAGAAGAATGCATTTTTAATTATGTCAGTTGCTACCAAGATCAATTTTAAACCGTTATTACTTTGTATATTTATATATTATTTCCATGTAATTATATAAAATAAAATGAAGGTAAAATAAAATTGCAGTCACTTCATTTAAACCCAATCATTAAACTATCATTCATAAAGATTTTTATCTTTTTGCTGCTATTCTGACAATCCAGAATTCGTAAATGCTAATTTTATAGCATGTCATTTTATTTAATCATTAGCAGTGCAACTGTTTTATTTACAAAAATACTATTATAGATTACCTTTTAATGAATTCAAAACAATAAAAGATTTCCAGATTATTGCTATTGACAGTAATATGTCATAAAAAGAAACACCTTTACAGGTAAAATTTAACTAACAATTTATTACCTGGTTAAATTTTAGTTTATCACTAAATGATTTTCTGTTGTTTTGTGGAAATTTCTCTCAACCTATCATAATTTTTTTCTTTTTTTTACGAGGCTATTTCAACTATGAAGTTATTTGAATCCTCAGTGTGCCAAAAGTTTTTGAAAAAAAGCCCATTTCTAAGTATGTTGGATTTGAATGTAGGGACCTTTACTTTACGGTGATGAGCGCTGTGTCAACACCTAAACTGTTACAATCACCGACTATCATAATTAAATAATTTTTATTAAAGCTCATGAATTTCTGATCTAGTTTAATTTGGTTTACATTAAAATGAGTATATTCTAATTAATAAAATGATAATGATACATATAGTTTGAAATAAACAACAAAAACTGGACCATCATATTTTGTTGTTTATTTCAAACTACATCTATATGTATATATAAAGTTGTCACATTACTGTTTGATCAAAAATAAATAGCCATATTGATATTATTATCTACATACTGCTGATATTTGACTTCACCCTTTTAGATTTTATAGAAAAAAATTATAAGTATATATTCGGATTAATCAATCATTATAAAATGGACAAAAAATTTAAATGTAATAAGTTCTCAAGGAAGGTAAATGGAAACAGGTAAACAAATTTGAAATGTTAAATAAATATTTCTAATATATGAAGAATAGTGAAAATGCGTAAATTGTATTTAAATTTAAAATTTATACGTTGGTTTCATTTATTTATTTTTCACAATGTAATGGTTGTGTAACATACACCGTGGTTTTTGAGTAAGAAAAATATATATGGAACTAATGACTTTTTTGAGGTTCGGTGTCCTTTTTTGATCAAACTCCATCATCAAAGGTTCCAACTGATTTTTATAATCTACCAACCTACCAAATCAGTTGGATCTAAAGGCTTCATTAATAATCAACCTTTGATAAATAAGGAACCTTTTTTTGCAAAAAAAAATTAAATTTGATTATCAAAAATATTTGTTTCAAGATAATAATGAAAATGTAAAAATTAATAGAAAACACATTTAACAAAATAACTGCAATGGAGTGAAATATCTTATGTTCATTACAAGATAAATTGAGTTAATTAATTTTCTGATAAACTTGTTGATGTTTTTGTGTGTGCATTATCTCACTTTATCACAGTTAAAAAATTTCCTTAATTGCAATAAGAATTTAATTTATTTAGATTTTCAACATTTATGTGAACTAATGCTTAATGACTGCTTGATGCCTATTTTGAAAAAATATTTTTTGATTAAATCTTAAGGCCTAAAACCTTTATTGACATTATAGTAAAGTAGTTACTGTCTGATGGGAGAGCTTTCATTCAAATACCCATTGCGTGTCGCATGAGACATGGAATCAAACACTTCATACTTCATTTGTTACATTATTATCAATTAAAAAGCTCTGCCGGGATTCGAACCCAGAACCAATATCATGGCAAATACGAGTTGGATGCCCTAAACCACTTGACCACCGCAGTCTCCTATATTGGACATTTTACTTACACTTTTAAAACAAAAACATTTTATATTTATAGTTTTGTGATTATACTAAAGTAGTGTAGTCACTTAAAATAGGCTTCCTGCAATAAAAAATCTGAATTTAAGAATATTTTAATATCCCGCTATCGTATACTGTTGCTATCTTAAAAAGACTACAAATTTTACTTAATTTACTGTTTAACAGCTGTTTTGTCATATCAATAGTATTTCAACATTTATCCATCTTTATTGGCACCTTTGTAAGAAATTGCTTGACAAAATTAGAAACACAATTAATTACTGTTAATATTTTTTCTTTTCGATTAAAAGATTTGAAATGAAGATATCGTAGAGGCAAGCTAATTTAGCTGTTATCTTAGAGGTTTTTTTTTCTAAAGGATATTCACTATTATTCACATTCACCAAAATAACATTATGTGTTTTTCGTTATTAGAATGTTTGAAATTAAATTACATTGTTAGAATTTTCAGCAGCTGATTACTGTAGGTCAAAATAATGTTTTACAGCAGTCAAATTAATAAAAAGTATATAAAATGCCTATTTATTAAAAATCAAATTCTTAAACTTTTAAAATTATATTTATGTAAGAATTACTTTTCCATTTATCAAGCATTTTGTTAACTTTTTTCTGAATAAATTGCAAGATTTATTTACCTACTGATATTGTTTATTGTTCAAATACTTCATTTTAAAATAACATTGTATTTTCTGTTTGATATACTAGGTAAATTATAATAAAATAAATTAATTGCCTTAATTAATAATTTTGATTTAATAGAAGTTAATCTAAACATGTTGAACTTTATTTAAAGTGGAGGAACATTCTGCCTCTTGATTAAAGTTTCTATTCACATAGATTTGTTGTTTTATATCTTAGTATTTTTATAACTATGATATAAATAAATGAGATATAACAAATGTTTATAATTTCAAACTTAAACAATACTCATTATACCATTGTTTTTGTCTTAAGGCAAACACTAATTGGTGTTAAAAAAAGACAAACGATTGGAAGTTCCCCTCCTAATTATCTTTATACTATTTTTATTATATAATAATTACGTTTTAATTACTTTAGAAAGATCTTCTTGTGAATATTTACAATATAGCAACAGTGTGAATTTTAACAGAAAGAGATACTTTTAAAATTAAAAGCAAATAAAGAAAGAAAAGATAATAAATTAATAAAAATACAATGCTCCTGCATTTTATCAACTTGGTGCTTGGTATATTAATGTAAATATTAATCATAATGCAACAAAAATGATTAATAATGTAAATGTAAATGTCTTTGTCTAAATTAAAACAGCTAGATTTTAGAAAACTATAACATTTTCAATTAATAATAAACAATTTTTGATCTATGCTAGGCTAAATTATTAATTTATATTGTTTTATAGGGTTTTCTACTACTACTATATGTCTTTATTCTTTAATATATATACAAAGTTTACAAATCAGCAGTATATATTACAGAGCAAGAAAGACGTTCCTCATGGTTTAAAACCGTCTGAGGGGGGTTTTCTACTATTATAGTCTGAAATTAGATTGCTACATGTATTTAATTATTTATACTTTTATTGTAAATTTTCATATTAATAAAAATTCAAATGTATTGTATATTAAAAATAAATTAAAAACTAAAAAATGGCTAGAAACTCTAATATAGCTTCAATTTTTAAGAAAATCAAGCATACATGTTTGAACATTTACAAAAAATTTTGATTTAAAATATTATAAAACATTTAACATTTAAATACTGTTTAAAGAATTAATTTGGCATTGAATATTGATTGAATCACAGATTTGTTGTTGTGATTTAATGTCATTGTGTTATAAGATAAAATATGAATGTCACACACACACACACACACACACACACACACACACACACACACACACACACACACACACACACACACACACACACACACACACACACACACACTCTGGTTTGGGCCAGAGCTAAAAGTCCTTAATAACCAGAATTCCAACTTCAGGATGCAGATATTTATACTAATGGCTGCAAGAAAAATGAAAAAGTCAGGAAAGCTCATAAACAATCCAAGTGGGGAAATCTAGTTAGCAGACCAGTCTCTAAAAATCAACCAGAGCAACTGGCATTTTTTAAGGCAAGGTATTGCTATGGCTAACACAGTATGGTTTTTCTCCAAACAAAACTAGTAAGGGTCCAACAAATGTTTGAACTTCATAAGTGGCATTGGACTTAGTTACAGATCAGAGAAATCATGTGTCTCTAGTTGAGCATATTCAATATGTTCTGATCCACATACATTGTCTTGGCATATGTGTGTTTTTAAGTCACGTGAATGTTGATGAAAAGTCAACAAACTGGCAAAAGAAAGGTTGGAGGACTCCTAGTGAAGACCTACATGGATAGCTTGCCTGCAGAGGATAGCTTGTGGAAATGCGAACAATGTTGGCCAGTAGCTGCAACAAGTCAACATACAAAGATGATTTTTCCCCACCATCTTCTCCAGGGTAAAGAGCAGCGTTCATCTGTCCTACAAGATGACTCAAGTTCTTTCAGGCCATGGACGTAACAGAGATTATTACCATGAATTCAGAATTCATCAAGTTCCAGTTTGCCCTTGTGAAAGTATTACATGCCAGAAATAAGACCACATCTTGTTCCAGTAAACTAATGAAAAAGAAAGAGCTCCTTTTCTGAAAAATCTGGAGTTGAGAAGTGCCTCTTGGCCTCCAGACAAAAGTGAGATAATAAATTATAGTGATCTATATAAAATTTTCTGCATCTATTTTAATGCCATTGATTTTTAAAAACTGTAAATATTTGAATATTTGTGCAAAGTTTTATCAATTACTGTCATTTTTGTTTTGTTATATATTACAAAATGTCAATTTTATATAGCGGTGGAACAATTGTTTCCTAGATATTTAAAAAAATATGGTTAAATTAAAAAAAGCTGTCTGTGATCATAATCATTAAAATAAATGATATTTTAATCGATCGAATTAGATATGATCAACCAGGTGATGGGGTAAAAATTCGATCTCAATATATACATTTCTCTTAATTTTAACGCATTTTTAAAAATTGATTGTTTATAAAAATTATCTTGTTTAGGTAGCATTTTCGCTCATCCGATATGGAAGACTGACAGTGAAGAGTATTGAGGTGTCATCTATTGACGATCCATTTCATGCCATCAAGATGAAATGCCCAGAGAAAATATTTGAAATTCCTTCGGATTACATTGAAAAAAATTATTTACATGTTCATTGTTGATAAATGGACTGTAAAATAGATTATAACGAATGCAAATTAAGGAGTTACAATTCTGGGGATCGTTCTATGAAAATGTGATTTTAATGTTTGTGATTGATTGTAAAGGATTTGTTATACACCTTCACTAGTTTGAAAACTAAATTGAAAAAAAGAGCGAGAATAGACGGACCGGGGATGTTTGGTTTGGACAAAAACATTTTATTAATTATGGCCGAATTGTTTTCCGTTTACAAAAACGGCGCTCGGATGTACTAAACCTGCAACACAGTTAGGTTCGGCAAAACTGTATCGCAAAGATGTCAGGCGCGAACGACGAGTCGTGATCAGAAAATTTATATTTAAATCATTTTAAATTATTTTGAAGGGTATGTAAAAATTTTAAATTATGACATATTACCCAGATTTTTTAAACTTTAGTCATTTTATGAATTTTGATTTTAAAAAATCTTTCAGTTGAATTGTGTAATTTCGCAATAACTCATCAAAATTAATTCGCATTTTGTTTGTGTAATTTCACATTAACTTATCAAATGCGAAGCGGGTTTTGATTACAGTCTGACACAAAAATATTCGTGCAAGTAGAAATGCAGCCATCGACTTTTAATGACAATACAAAAGCAGGGTGTGTGTCTGTTAGTGGACAATTTTAATTTGGCATTTCCGGTGTTGAAGTGTCCGAAAAATCTCAAAACTTCTTCCTTTCCCCTTTTCAATAGAAATTCTGGAATAAAAAGAATAACGATCTTCTTTATGTTTCCAATAACTTTAAAGCAAATCGGATATTTTGTTTTGCCCAAAATGATGTTTTGTTAAATTTACTGTGATTGACGTCAAATGATCCTTTTGTGTTCCCGCTTAATTAATTCCTTCAGTTTCTTCTTTATTTTCTAAGGTTGTAAAAAATTTGCCAATTCGAAACCCAAAGAACCATAAAAATAATTCGAATGCTCAACGATGTTCGAATTATCAATAGGAAAGAAAAATGATTAAGAGTTGATATGTATTTCTACAACTTATAACTTGAATTTTACATACACAATACATCGTAAAAGAAAAAGCAGAACTAGATCAACTGAAAAATCGAACATTGTTATGTATTATTCGTGAAGCGGTTTTTGTTTCAACATGCCTGGCGTCCTTCGTCTGAATAATTGTCCGAAGTGACCAGCACTGAGAACGCATGTACAAAACACTGACCGATAACAAAAATGAGAAAATTCGAAGAAAATTTAGGCTGTAAGGAAGTAAACAATACGCGGAAATTTAGAGGAATATTACAAAGAAAAAGTTCGAATTACAAACAGGGGAAGTGGCTCCATTTCGATTTATAGAAAAATCTTTTCTCCCTCGGTACGAAAAATATTTGTATCAAAACACACGGAATTTTTCCGATAGTATAATGTCTTGCGGAGAGTTCGTATCAAGAAATGCGAATTATCAAGTCTCGAATTAGCAAGAGTCGACGGTATATTTTTTTTAAAATCTGGTTTCAAGTTTCTATATTCAATCCATTTAGAATTTTTGAATAATTTACAGAAAAATTGCGGAATAAAACCAAATTTCCTTATCTGAGAAATCTATGCTGAACATTCAAGAGAATGTTTTAGATATCAAATAGTGACCAAACTACAGAAGAGAACTAAAGAAATAAAAAACACTTTTAACACCGCAATATTCTGGCAATCTTTAGAAAAACTAATTATATCCCAGAAGTTTTAGAACTTGAGCAGTTAAACTGAAAATGTGGTTTTTGAAAGTTAGCTGCCGAGGTCCTTAATAATGTTAACTGAATTGAGCTGGTGTCATTGATTGTATAAGTGTAGTTTCTAGAATTATTGCATCTTGAGAAGCGGATATGGAAACATTTTGAAGCATTAAAATTTGGATTATTATAAACATCAAGAATGAAGAGAATTTAAATTATTTTGGAGGATTAAGTGGTCAGAAAAAAAACAGGCTTAAAGATTTTTAGAACATCAGCAAAGAAAAGAAAATTAATATCATTAAAAAATAAATAATTAATTAAGAACAGTTAAAAAAATTCTCTCAATTAATTAAACTCTATGTAAGGCATTGGTTGAAACGAAAAAGTATCACGAGCGGGATTTAAACCCACGACCTTCGACTAGTGGTTCGAATCCCGCTCATGACACTAACTTTTTCATTTCAACCAAAGCCTTACATAAAGATTAATTAATTGAAAGAAGTTATTTGGTCAATCGGACCACGAAATATAATGGATTTAATATTAATAATTCAGAAGAAAATTAATATCATTAAGCACAGAGTAAACGTCATTTATAAAAACAAGAAACAAAAGAGGTCCTAAGTGAGAGCCCTGAGGAAATCCCTGAAGTAACTGTTTAGAAGAATCAGAAAAATTACCTTTGACTATTTGGAATCTATTTTCAAGGTAAGAGTGAAATCAACAGAGAAGACCATAAAAACCATATGTCTCCAATTTCGCAATCATAATGTGATGGACAGTGCCAAATACTTTTACATGTAACGTTTCGATTTGAATGTACCGCCATGCCCCTCCACACACATCTGACAGTGAAAGGAGTAGGGGCTAGGAAAGGGCTATTTTTTCAATCAAAAAAACAATTCCCTAATTCCCTTTCTGTCCTCCGTGGGTTAAAAGCTGTTAATTGGTAATAAAGAAAAATTTGGTGTACACACAATTCAAGTGAGTAAATTTTTATATTTTGACGTCAAAAAAACTAAAAATAGTAATTGTATTTTAATTTAAAAAAGGGTTGTCACAAAATATAATTTATAAAGAAAACTAAAAGAGATAGCATTTGATTTTAAAAGTTATGTTAAAATATTAATTGTATTTTCTAATTGGTGGTCAAAAATTAATAATAATAGCAATAATAATAATTTTCTTTACTTTTTGTAGATTCTGAAATAGGTTTTATTATAGAATAAAAGATTCTTTAAATTAAAAATAATAATTAATAAAAGAAATTGTAATCTTTTTTGAAAATAAATTGTAATAAAAGATTTAAATTTAATTAATATTTTGGTCTCGTATTTATTTTGGTTTGAATTGAATATTGGAATTTCATACATCAAAAAAAGGTGCTTGATCATTAAATTAAAATTAATGTAGTCAGGTCCGATCATAAGAAAACCTCTGGGACTTAGTTTGCGGTTCTCCGAATTCAGGGTTGGGCCCAAAACAGAAGATACGCGCTTACATACAAAGTCTGTGTGAATTGAATCGACATAACAACGTTTATCAAATGTATTTGTAATGTTTTTATGATAGATTAAAATATTGGTGGATTTTATGGGATAATACAAGTTATACATCAAAGTACAGCTGAGTAACACTAATTTCACAAATTATTTTTTAGACAACACGGTACACTATCATATCCCAGAGTAGTTTTAGGTTTAGTATTAATAAATTTATTATAAAAATCAGGCTCATTTATGACTAGAACATTTAAATTTAAATTACTGCCATCAACAGGGTTTCCCTCACGGAAAATCTTTCACAATTTTAATCCAAACATAAAGTAGCTAACTTCCGGATAAAAAAGTACTGATAGTAATTGTTTAAAACTTTCAAATTAGTCCTATTTTGTAGAAAAAATATTCCTCTTTCCGACGATGTATCATATGATTTTTTAAAGTTGAAACTAAGAATATGGTAATTGAAGTGAAAAGTTCTATTAAAACGTTGGGTTTACCACCCCGTTAGCTTTTCCGTTCATTGAAATAGCAAAGGTTCTTCTCTTCTCCCACTTCAGCCAAAACCTTTTTAATATTATAGAGAGATAACTGATTATAGTAACTTTAGTAAAATATATTGAAAAAATTATAGAAAAAGCCTATGCTTAAATACATAACTTTTGATTTTCAAACACCATTGTTCAAAAATATGCTTAAATTTTTGTTTTATCTTGTTATTAATAAATTTTACTGTTTTGTTCTAGAAAGCCAGCTGTTATAATTACTCGTAAAAAAATGTGTTTTGTTGTAAATTAACACTTGAATGCTTTTTTTGCGAACAGTATTAACAAAGTGCGAGAATATTCCCCATTCACGTCACAATTGTACAACAGTGCCAAGTGTAAATTTAATTTTTTGTATTATTAAGGTGCAAAAAAGTTTTTTCGGAAATTTTTAAAACAAGCTTGGCTAAACTCGGTATAGTGAAAGACCACGCCTCTTTTCTGGCCTTATTTTTCTAATTATGATAGTCGGGCCGGCCTTAAGCCGACTCCTATTAAGTCGATTGCCTCATCACTCGGCATAAGATGCAGGAGGGGAAAATAAGCGTTCTCGCTCAGAAGAGGGACGCAGAACGGCCAGTCGCGTCCTAGTGTCAGACGAAGACATGTCGGGCTACGGCGGTCTTTTCCGCTCGGCCGAAGAGCAGATCCAACCGGTTGATGCCATCATCAGTGGTAAGCCAATTAAATAAATAAGCAAAACAAACAAAAAAAGGCTTAAAAACGCGCGAAATTGGATCGACTTTACTGTAAATTTTCCATGATTTTTTTCCCGATGAATCAACTTTATGACTTGGCACATCAAGGATTTTATTCCGTTAACGACAGACCCCAGTCATAAATAAGATACAAAACATGATAAAAAGATGATGCATAAAATTAAAAAGGAAACTATTTAAACGAAGAAATTGCAACAATTGGGAAAATTGGAAAAACAAAACATGAAAATTTGTTTTAATTTGTTCATTCTCGTATAAAATCTACCTTACATTTTTTAAAATTAAATTTGCAACAGTAATTTTATAAATAAACATTTATTTTCTTTTAAAACATTAAAGTCAATAACTCTCGTTACGATAATTTTGAAAGATCCTATCGTCGTAATCAACATGGACCTCGACCTTTTCAAAAAAATTACTCTTTGTACAAAAAACACGTACCTAGTGTCAGATTAGCCACAATCTTATAAAGAATTGATTTTTTAAATTGAACAATTGATCAATCTTAATTTGTTTAAAATAATATTAAATGCGCTTATTAAAAAAATAAAAAATAAATGCTTAAACAACCTTCGTTATTTTAATGTAAAATTTAAAAAAAAACTGTAAAAAACAGAAAATAATATAGTTAGAATCACAGAGAATTTTTCAAGTTTTCCCTCAGAACTCGATAATTTCATTTTATCATGTTTGTTTTTTGATTAAGGTAAGTTTTAAAAAATCAGCGCAAATTAAATTTTCAAATTTCTCCCTTTTTTAACCAGTTACATGATAAATTTAAATTATGGACTTCAATTTTCTCATTTTTTAAACTAGGCGCTTCAATATCTCCAGAATGAATCGATGAATATTTGAGTTTCTGATTTAACTTTTTTAGAAAGGAAAAAATTTTCAAAAAAGTTAATCACCAGGTCAGCTTATTAAAATTCTAATAGCAGCAGCAGATTCTAACTACTTTTTGAACCACACTTTACACACAAAAAAAGTTTAGAATACGTTAGAATCACTGAGGATTTTTTTGTTGTTTTAATAGATTCGCTTATTTCATTAGTTTAAAAAGATTGTTTATATGCTGATAAAATTCCAAAAAAGCGTGAGAAGAAAATAAGTTTCATTCTTCTGACTGTTTTATTTTCCAGTTTATTCTTACCTTCAGTATAAACTAAATCTCGTTTTATGTAAATTTTTATATTGATGTTAATCACTTTTTACTGCCTTGTACTTTGTCTACAAGTTACAATATTAATAGTAAATTACAATTAATTAAGGTTTTTAGTCGAGATGAAAAAAAGTTAATGGCACGAGAGGGATTCGAACCCACGATCTTCGGCCAGACACGCCGCACAGGCCGAAGGTCGTGGGTTCGAATCCCTCTCGTGCCATTAACTTTTTTTTCATCTCGACTAAAAACCTTAATTAATTGTAAAGTATTAATTGGTCAAGCGGACCACGAAATTAGTGAATTTAATTAATAATAAATTATAAAGAAAAAACTGTAATGAAAGGTCTATCGCTTATATTAAACTTTTAAAATATGAACAAATTAGATTAGAAAAAATTGAATTTGCTCAAAGCACAGATTAAGTTTGTTATTCAGTAGACAACATTTTATGCCAATATCGTTCCTTTTTTTTCCCTTCCTGTTGAAATCCTTCATTCTCCTGGTGTGCCTATATTATCGAGCGTCTGTGAACAAGGTCTTGAGTCAAATTATTAATTGCATGGGAATAACGAGACCTCTCATCTAGCATTTGAAAATTCATTGTTCAAATTATTAAAAAAAAAAACCAAACCGATATTAAACAAAACATGGAAATCTACCTCTTTTATGGTATAAATAAGCTCGATAGGGCAAAGCAAGATAAGCCAAAAAACACAATTTCTCAAGATTTACATGTTTAAGTTTTGACCTTTGGTACGAACTCAGTTTTTGTTGCAAGTTGTATAGTGCTCACATCTCACCATTTTCAATGAAATTGTTCTAGTAAATATTTTTTTTACATTTATTTAATTATATCTTGACTTTATGATACAAATTATGCATATTTAGAGCACTTGCCAATTATCGTACTACTGGTTATCACGTATATTTTCGATTTGCTAGGCGTGAAAAGTGGGTCAAGTCGAGTTGTATTACAAAAAGACTAAATTTTACAGGCACTAATTCACTTATTACTAACGAAATAAATGCTAATAAAGAAGTTAAAAAAATCTCTTTGTCGCACCTGGACAAATATTCATTTTTTCATTGATAAATAGTGAATACACTTATTCTTTTAGTTTATAAAAGGCAAGGCAAAAAGTCGTTTAGGAAATAGTTAACTTCTCGACTTACTGGAATATGAACTTATATTTTAGCCAAAATCCTACCCAGATTTGCCCCAAGGTGCTGCAATCTCGACGATCGATAAATTCTTTTAGTTTTCAAAACGAAATGATTAATTGTTATTCGGTTTAGTGCGTTTGTTGTCTATGAGCCCCAGCGAAGATAGACGGACCCAAGTAATTAACCCGGAGTGATCAACCAAATACACTACCTTCTTCTTTCTCTTTGTGTACCCTATCTGTTAGCGGACTCGGTCATCATGATCATAATGCGCACTTTGTCAACAGCAGCATTAAAGAGGGATTGGTTTGGTTGATTGCCTCAGGTTTTTCACCTACGAAATTCTACCAGGACCTCGTCTCCCTTCGATTTTTCCTTCTAGAATTAAGAGTTCATATTTCCGAGTGATGTAGAACATGACTGAAATACCCAAGTTTCCTTGTTTTTACTGTTGTGTTGATTTCTGTTGTTTCGTTTATTCTTTTGAGTACCTCCACTTTAGTGATGTGTTCTGTCCAGATTATTTTTAGCATCCTTCTACAGGTCGAATGCCTTAAGCTTTTTTATAGAAGCTTCTGTGAGACTCCAAGCTTCGATACGACATAGCAAAGTTGAGAAGGCGTAGCATTTCAATAATCTTATCCCTAATCCCAGATCCAGTTCGAGACTGCATAGTGCCTTTTCATTTTAGTAAATACCAACTTTTTTTAGTTAGGTGTTAAAAAATCAACGCACAATTAATTTTTTTTCCTTTTTTAACCAGTTACACGATCAATTGAAATGATCGAGTTTTGAAGGAAAACTTCATTATCTCAAGAACGATCGATGGATTTTTTGGGTTTGTAGCAAGAATGAAGAGAACTCAAAATGTTTGTGTTAAAAAAATTCATCCTTAGGAAATCATAGATCTTTGTGAAGACGATGAAGTTTTCCTTCAGAACTCGATAATTTTAGTTTATTAGTATTTCAATAATCTTATCACTAATCCCGGATCCTGTTCGGTTAATGTTGCTTTTATTTCTTTAGAGTGGTCCCATAGGTCGTTCAACTGACAGCCTGGGAATGTTATCTTTTGGACCCTCTGTAAAGAATTCTTCGCCCATGATAGGTGTCTTGTTGATAGCTATAAATTTAGTCTTTACCGTATTTAGTTTTGAACCGTGTTCATTTGTTACACCTTATCAAGTAGGCTTTGTATTTCTTCTTGGCTGTTTGCAATTAATAAAAGGAGAAAATTGAAAAATTATTTGAGTAAAATAAGAATATCTGCATTGATTTTTTAAACCTAATTTTACACAAAAACAAACAGTTACACGATAAATTGAAATTATCGAGATCTGGAGAAAATTTCATTATCTCCAGAATGATAGATGAATTTTTTTATGATGACTTTTTACCCGCAAATCTTCAAAGTCCTTTTCATTCTAAAAACCAANCCAAGGCCTTACATAAAGATTAATTAATTGAAAGATGTTATTTGGTCAATCGGACCACGAAATCTAATGAATATACCAGAAAGTTTTCCTTCAGAACTCGATAAGTTTTAAAAAATCAACACAAATTAAATTTTCATATTTTATTCAATTAAATTTTTAAATTTCTCCCTTTTTTAACTAGTTTCTCGATAAATTTAAATTATCGACTTATATTTTTCTCATATTTTTAAACCAGGCACCAATAACTCCAGAACGAATCGTCGAATGTTGAATTTCTGATATATTTTGTCAGAATGGAAAGTATTTTCGAAATGTATAAAAAAAAAGTAGGTTATTACATTGGAACAAAAAAAGTTGATACTAGGTCAGTTTAGCTTATTAAAATTCCAATAGCACTAGCACATTCTAACTCAAAAATTACTTTTTGAACCAAACCTACCTAAGTTTATAATTAAATAAGCAACGTAAAAATAAAAGGCCATGTCTTTTAAAAAAGTGTGTAGAGATTAGTGACCGTTAATCGATAGTTATTCAGATATCGTGAGATGCGGTCGGGTGTGATGTAGGTTTCAGAAAAACATTTTCTTTATCGTGCCAACGTT